TTCCGGAAATGGGTTTTTTGCTTTTTTTTTTTTTTTTTTTGTAGAATTTAACTAATGCGTAGAATACTCCAAATTGTATCACAATATGTGCTTATCGAACGAAGAAAATGTTAGAATGTCAGTTGACTTTAATATAGGATCAAAGGGCCATTTATTGATTCATTTTTTTTTTTACAAGTAACTCTTTTTAAACTCAACTTTAATAAATTCAATTTAATAAATTCGCCATCCCCTGTTTGCCTGTTCAATGTCACTGCGCATGTGCAGTCAGAAATCAGGAAGATGGTGGCCAAACAAATTTTTGGCGCGCAGTTAAACAAAAATGAATTATTCCACTGTTACAGAGCCGGACACGGAGGACAACGTTTATTAAACGAAGCTACGAAAAGGCGTTTCCGCACCATGACTCCTAACATGATATATCGACACCAGGAGCCAAACGCAACGCAAATTGTCAGCGGCAGCACAACGTCGCCCTCAACTGTCAATGTCAGCCCAGCATGGACTAGTGATGGGACGATGAGAGAAACAATTCACTGCAAAAAGATGTGAGTACTTAAAATACATGTTTTACATTTTATGTTAAATAATGGTTCGGTGTCATTTAATGGTCACTTTTTTTCTCTCATCTGATTCCTGTGTAAAAAAAAAAGTAGAAAAACAGACGTTTACATTGATCTGTATTCATCTAATAGAAGTGTTTATACTGTACATACAACTATTCCACACACACACACACACACACAAATTATTTAGGATGATTCCAATTTATAGAAAGATTTTTTTTTCTCAAAATTACACTACAGATACCAAAGTTACAATTTTTGGAATATGGTTTTATTTTAAAATTTTATATAATGAATTGTGTAAAATGAGAACGTAGCTTATATCATAATGCAGCGTATGATACACACTGTAGTATCCATATTAACATTTTAACTTTTAACATCTGGCCACTGACATTTACACATTTAACATCCAATAAATATTGACATTTGTATAAATAAAAAAAATAAAAAAACTTTTTCCTCATAAATTTGATTATAGGTGGAAACAGTATTTGCATTTGTCCCGACCTGAGTCGGTTTCTTTATTCCTTTAAATAGATTTAGTAATTCTTTAAAACTTTAATAGCCGTGTACTGTACTCCAGTATAATTTAAAATGTCTTCAATGTCTATTTTTACAGGACCACAATATATAGTATTTGGTTTCTTTTCCTTTTACTTACAGTTTTTTAATTATCTGAAAATATTTACAGGTTTTTAATACTACTTAACTTTTTGGTTTGGTGATAGTATAATGTGTGTATATATCTATTAATGCCATAAATATTGTTTTTACACACTGATACTTTGACCTGATACACACTTGCATATTTTTGCTGTGGTGCTGTTTGTTTGGAGAACTGTTTATGTAGATGTGGTCTGGATAATAACAGTCCTGCTGTGGTCTGTCTGAGGGCCATCAAACGGTCCCCTCTCTGCAGGTTGATCCACTCCAGACTGTTCTTTCAGTGGTTGGTGGCGTGTTACACTGTGACACATTATCAGTGCAGTGTCGACACATCCCGTAGTCGTAATGCTGTCTTTGTGTGAAGCGTGTGGAGCTGCCCATGTTGTTGTTGGACTGGGAGTGGGATCCCAGGTTCCCACAGTCGGACTCCTTAGGCTCAGACTGTGGACTCCCCCTGTAGATCCTCCGTAGAAACGCAGACATGTCTCTGTACAGACTCTCACGGAAGTTGGGCTTACACAGCAGGTGGACTACAGGGTTGTAGATGGTGGACGACTTGGCAAATATGGCGGCGAGTGCAAAAGCAGTGGGAGGAACTTGTGTGGCGTCTGTTAAAGCGGCCCACATCGAAACGACCGCGTATGGGGTCCAGGCCACCACGAAACCTAAACACACCGCCACTGACAGCTGAGGAGTCAAAATAGAAAGTATAAAAGTCAGGGAAATTATTTTTATTATATTATATATAAAATTTAGATTTTATTCTTATTTTTTATATATATATTAGAGGTAAAAAGTGTTAATTGAAAAAAAAAAAGAATCTTTCCAGTTCCCGTAAATGTTCCTTTAATTGTTTTTTGTTTTGTTTTTTCAGTTTTGGAAAAAAAAATTAAGATCAAGCTAGAGCTAAACTTGTTGCAAAACTTTTAATTTTTAACTAGTTTTTTTTTTTACTCCTAACTGAATTTATCAGCCACAGAAACATTTCTCTTGCCTGACCTTGACAATGAGAGCATGCGCGTTGCTGGTCTTGTTCTTCGGCGACACGTGCTGCTGGACAGCCTGACGTGAGCCGCGCACCGTCAGCAGGATGAAGGTGTAGGAGAGAACGATGAAGGTGCAGGGCAGGGCGTAGCAAAAGACGAAAAGACACACGATGTAGGACAAGGCCAGCAGCTCGTGGTTGGGTGCGTGCCAGTCAATGCAGCAGGCCGTGCCGTACGGTTCGGCGCTGTAATGCCCCCACTGTGCCAGGGGTCCGACAGCAAACACCATTGAGTAACACCACACTGCAACCACCAGGAGGCGGGCGTGGGACGAGGAGAACTTGCTGCCTGATCAGACGAGATACAGAAAGTGTGCAGCGGTTGTTGTGAATATTATGATTGTCCATTAAAACGACTTGAATTTCCAATCTGATGAATCACTTTATCCAAATTAATCAACATTAATTACTTTTGATTTGCAAAAGTATATTATTGTTATTGGATTAGTCATTACTGCTTTCACAATTTGGTTGACAACTGGTTGGTTGGTCCGGTGTAATGAAAACGTTTTATAGCACTGTGTGTATAAATTACAAACATTCCATCAGCTTTTCAGTAACGCAACTATAAGTGGATGGATTCTAGAAATATTGGATTTGCATTAATTCTAACAACTGTAGTCAATATACAGTATATATATATATATATTTTACATGATTGACACAATACACTCAGTGTTTTTCCTGACAACTGTAGTCTATATATATATATATTTTACATGATTGACACAATACACTCAGTGTTTTTCCTTCACCTTGGTTTGGGAAGCAGACTTTGAGGCAGCAGACTAAAGAAAGGGCTGTGAGGTTGGTCAGGCTGCACAGACCAAACAGGACTCCACACATTGCGTAGATCTGACAGGCCACTTCTCCAAACAGCCACCTGCAGTAACGGGCACAAATTATGGAAAAATGTGTCAGTGGAATTCTAAGATAAGAGAGATTGGGGAAAAAGAGGGAATACTTCCACACACCTGTGGCAGAAAGAAGAAGGTATTGCGAATGGAAATAAGGTGAAGGTCATCCCAAGGTCACTGATGGACAGATTGATGATGAAGTACTCTGCTGGCTTCAAGCTGGACCGCCGGTGGTAGGCAACAAGTAGCAGGATGCAGTTCCCTTTAAGGGACAGTAGGACTTAAAGACAGAAAGGTGAAGGTTAAACGGTGAAGGTCAGGGTGCGGTGGAAGGACTGTGAGTTTTTTCGACTGTTGTTGTGTTCCTGTTGTCTGTTTTGAACTTACAAAATACACTGTAGAGAGCGCCCATGAGGATGTCACACTCCTTGGAGATGTTGGAGGCAAACAGGTCGGAGGTGTACGACGTATTCATCATCTGGAACACAGTAGTACACAGGGAAATACCCACACACACGGGGGGTTAAATCTATGGAGTCAGGGATTTACAACAACACGGACACAGTGTAGTGTTTGGAAAAACAATGTCACCAAACACAATCTGCTGATGTGTCATGAAAAAATCCTCCTGACATTGTATCATGTCAAGAGGAATCACTCATCATATTTGTGCACATACGACTTTTTTTTTTTTTTTTCCATCTGGCTGTGAGCCCATCTGACGTAGACTGAGAGCCAATAGAAAAGTACTCCATGTGGATAATTCTGTGCACCATGATTTTAGAGACACTGTAGATCTACAAATGATTGATGATTGACTCTTGGCTCTGTTTCATCATTTCATCTTTTTGACTGAAAATGTTACTGTATGAACCCACCGCCCAGACTGTTTCCTCGGCGGCCAACAGCACTGAGAGGCAGTGAATGTGAATGTGAATGGCACTTGGTGCAATATTTATACCATGTTGTGTTATTGGCGTGACAGAGGAGGGTTAGAGGCTACTTTTTCAACTTATGTAACAAGTACTGTATGGGGAATTGTCACATGAAGGCAAGAGTGCGTAACGTAATGTGATTTGGCAGCGCAGCAGGCCGAAACATCATGGACCTTATCAGGATCTCACTTCGCCGCCATCATGTGAAAGAAAAAAAAATTTTTTTTCTCATCTGGATTGTCTTCCATGTCTTGGCATTCTTTATTTAACCAGACATAATTCTGTTTCAACTTCATGTTGAAATGAGAATGGTGGAAAAATATATTAGAGAGCATAAAATAAATTTGTATTTATTAGAGGTGCGAGAAAATATCTATATATTGAAATATCGTGATTTGTTTCACAGTTTCAGTATCGATATTCTACAGCACTATATTGATTTTTCTTTTTAAATAAAAAATAACATGAAAATATTCATTCATTTATTTTCTTTTTCTTTTCTTTCTTCTCTAGTGATTCCAAATGTAGATCCCTCTGTTCCAGTGTTAGGAACTGATGTTCAGATGGAACAGAGTCTCAGACTAGGATGACAGTTTTACTACAATTAATTGTTTGAAAAAACTCAATATATTGTCTTGCCCTCCCTTTTTAAATCTCACTTCCGTCACCATCTCTATGTCTTTGTCTCCAAGCCATTGGGGTATAGTTAAGATTTTGAATCAGACCAAGGATGCTCAGTTTCCTCTAATCATCCTTTCTAAATCTCACTTCCGTCACCATCTCTATGTCTTTGTCTCCAAGCCATTGGGGGAGGACGGTGTCTACAAACGATACTAACTGAATAAATTACATTCTGCCACCCTGGTGAGGCATGCCATCTTTGCTTGTACGCATGAGTGCATGTTACATAACCGCAGTCAGAAGAAGTGTGAAAGCAAACATTCTGGTGTTGGGGACCGGGTCCACGTCTCACACGACTGTTTTCATCTTGTTCGCCCTTGATAAGATAATCCTCGGCTGACGGTCACTGACTCTGCTGAGTGCTGAAGTATCTGATTCAGAAAACATCGTTTTGGTTATTGACTTTCTGTTGTGGGGCTTTATTGAACGTTTGTGTCAACAAATGAATCATCCTACACACTTGCGTGCGTTCAGCAACAACAACAAGCTGCTCATGGAGGCAGGCATGCATGCACAGGGATTTAATGTGTGCAGGCAGCTGGAGATGTTGTGTGTGTGAGTGTAAACTCAATTAAAAAAAAGTGTTTTTGTTTTTTTTTATGAAACATTTGGATTAGAAAATGTATCATTGCACACTTTTTTTGCCCTGGTCTCATCATGATTTAAAAAGATTAACTAAAAAGATCAAATTAATTAGCGACCATATAAAGAATTTATGTAGAAATAACATTTTTTGTTCATTAAAATAGTAATCTTGGCTTTCTACAGCTCAGAACTGAGATGAGATGATCAAGCGTACGCTGCATCATTTAATTTTTTCTATTTTCTAAATACTTACTATTGAACAGAAAGCAAACTAAACGCCTTACCTCTGTGTCACTTATCTTCCAGCAGGTGACGGATGATCCTCGGGTCAACTCCGAAAAGATCAGGAGAGCAGGACACGGAGGAGTCAGGAGCCTGGTCATCCACGGAGCAGGTGAGAACATCTCATTTTAAGCTCCATACGCCGACATACAGAGCACTCACAACACATCTGGCCTGGTGGACAAACGCTGTGTCCTCTGGACACCAGTGCTGATGAGATGCAATGTCAGCAACATAAAGCTCACAGAAGCATCAGGACGGGCAGAGAGAGAGAGAGGGGGTGATGGGTGAGGGAGGGAGAGAGAGAGTCAGACTAAGAACTGTGTATTAGTGTCACAGGAATGGACAAAAGTTCCTCTTTAAATCCTATTGGTCCGTAGGTGTGATTGTGAATGTGTGTGAATATGACGACCTGTCCAGTGTTAACTTTGTTTTTGGTTTCTTTAGTTTAGGTTTGTGGGGATATTATTTAATCCTGATCATCAGAAATAAAAAGATTAAAAATAATTGGTAAATAGAGACTTAAACTTACCATATATTCCAGACTTTAAATTGCACCTTTTTTCATCCTTTGGTTGGGTTTGTGACTTATACTCAGGTGTGATTTAAATATTAAAATGTATAATTTCACACGTTGGTTATTTTCACACCAGCAGCCGCTAGAGGGCACTCTAGGCTTGTGTACCAGTATCTGTTACTCCTGTACCACTGAAAATTTACATGTTCGTTATTTTCACACTGACTGCCGCTAGAGGGCGACTTATACTCCTTCATCTGCTATAACTTGGTAGCAGATGTAACAGCAGTGACAAGTCTGTTAACAAAAATCAAGTTTATTGGGTCGTCAGTCATGAAAAAAAAATCAGAGTAACCTGTGAGTATTGTGTTATAACAACGTGAAAAAAAATAACCTGTGAGTATTGTGTTATAACAACATCTCTGTAAAATGACAAAAAAAACTTTGACTTTGTATCACTGTTCAGGTACAGAAGAAGACTTTGTATCACTGTTCAGGTACAGAAACTATATAAAACATAGTATTTAAATACTCCTAATCTAGACATAAGAAAGATCAATACACAACCCTAATCATGTAAACACCGTGTATAAGTATGTGTCATATGCTTCATAAATACAGTACAGTAAGGTGCAGTATGCTGTTTCTTTAATCACTGGGCCGAAATATCAATGTCCACCAAAGCAAACAGTTCATCGTAGCACCTTCTATGATACGTGTTATTGGTCAGGGATGCAGTCAGAATTAGCTGCCAATAACATTGACAATGTTTCAGTGCAGGTTTATACAACTTTGTATTTCACAATTAAACCACTCCATGGCTATTTAGTGGACGTCACTACATCAGCAGATGATTTTTATTCTTCCCTTTTTTTATTTATTTCTTTTTTATTTCATTTTTTACAATCTATGGTCCGTAGGAGTTGAACTAGTCCAAAGTGAACGTGTCCCCTCGTCTTGGTGCTGCCTCTAGTTCAAAACCTTGCAGTGTTGGCTCTGGCTTTTCAGTGCAGTTCCTGAGTTCACCCTTCAACTCAGACAGCTGCTGGGCATGACTGGAGAGAGTCCCGTTCACCTGCAGGAGAAGCCCGCTGGACTGTTTCTCCAGCTCCTCCCGAATTCTCTCCAGGTCGTCGGCGAGATAATTCAGACCTTTGCACTGGTCCTCTACGGTGGCAACGCGCCCATTGACCTCTGACACCTCCTTTTGGACTCCCATGGCAGTGCTCCTGCAGCCGCGTACCTCCTCTGCTAGACGCCGCTTCATCTCGATCAACTCCCCTCTAAGGCGGGTGAGTCGGCGCTCACCTGCCCCCAACATGGACGCTTGATGTCCGACCAGCTGCACCACACCCTTTATCTGCTGGGCTAGACGGGACTCTCTCTCGTGCCAGGAGTTATTGGCTTGACCTATCTGGTTGATGACTGTTCCCAGGGAAGTCTGGAGGCCTTTCAGTGTGCGGTTGACTGACCGAACATTAAACCTGAGGATCGTGATCTCTCCTTGGACGGGTGGACCTTGTGCTTCTTCCAGCTGGTCTTTTTGGCTCAGACGCTGCAGGATGTTTTGCAGCGTGACATTGAGAGTGTTCAAACGGTCGTCCTGCAGGTCCAGGACATCCTTTGTATTCAGTTCCCCGGCCAGCACAGCACTGGGTTCAGCGGAGTCTCCCTGTACGATGGACGGGCTCTCAGTCGAGGAACAAGAAGATGAGCAGCGAAGCTCAAGGTTGGTCAGCTGTTTCTGCACTCTGTCCACGTCCACCTCTAGTCTTTCTCTGATGGAGTCCAGTTCTGTCTCTAGGGTGGGGACGGCATGACCCTCCAGCAGAGCGGGGGCAGTAGCATTACCTAGTCCTTCCAAAGCTGTCAGTATACGACCCTCCAGAGCTCTAATCTTGATCTCCATTTTGGCCTCTAGTCCTTGATCTGTTAGCTCCTCACTTTTCCTTTCAGTCTCATAACTTTTCATTTGCCCGGTCAGGTTTAGTTTATCCTCGACATAACCCAGACGCCCCTCCAGAATTCCCTCAATGTGGTCCTTGTGTCCACCTAGCTCGACTCTCAGGTGCCTCTGGGACTGGTTGAGTCCTGCCACTGATGTTTCTAGCTGCTCAACCCTATCAAGCAGTCCACTGACCCATTCACAGGAGATGTTGTTGGCTTTTAAATCAGAAATCTGTGTCTGGAGATTTCTTAGGTCTGTTCTTAGGTCCTCGGTGCTTCCACGTAGAGAATCCCCGATCTGTTCTTGGATTTCACCCTGCTCTCTCTGGCACTGACGACGCACATCTCCAGCTTTGTCTTCACATCTGCTCTCTGTAGTTTCCACAGGCTTTTCAAACCCATCAAGGATTCCTGCTCTGACTGTATTCATCTTGGAATCCACGAGCTCCTCAATACTGACCTCGGTAACATTGCCATTTAATTCAGAGTCGACCACTGCGAAGGAGTTCGACATCGTCTTCAGCTGTCTATCGTGACCCGTTACTGTTTCTTTCAGTTCCTGCAGCTCTGTGGTTCTTGCCTCCACCTCTGCCCTGAGCTCTTCTACACTTTCAATCAGTTCGGTGAAGCCTGTAAACACTTGTCTGCCATCGACACCCACTGTCTCTTCACTTCCCCCAGGAATCTCCCCAAAACCTACAGTGGACAGACTAGAGGCTACAGGTGGCGCAGGAACGGGTCCGGGGGCAGCAGAGAGCAGAGCCGACAACATTCTGTTGGCGTCTTCACGCAGTGAGGTTCGGAGACTGTCCTCCAGCCCATTCACAGTTTCCCTCAGTGTGTCCAGACCCTGGTTTAGACGTCCAACTTCTTCTTCGATACGAAATATCCGCTCTTCTGTCTCGCGGTCTAGAGTTCGCCCTAAAAATATATAAAAATAAATATATATAAATTGGAATACGTGGAAATACATTAAATACATTTCATGTCATTGTTTAATTTGAACGTACTTATGTTTTCAGCCTCAGGCTGTTCACTTCCAGAGGAAGGAGCAGGTGTTTCTTCTAGTAGTTGTTCCTCAGGTTGTTGACTTGGCTGAAGCTGGTGCTCGTGGTCCTCCTCTGTGTCATGTGGCTCCAGGTGCTCTGGCATTGGTTCCGGCTCTGACTCTGGTGAAAAAGACTCGAAGGAGTTCTCTGGGTAGGAGGTGGAGGAGCTGGGAGGCCCAAAGTGAGGCATTGGATTAGAGATGAAACCGCCCGGAGCCGGTCCTTGGGGTTGACTCCACGGGGTTCCTTTCATGGGAGTGTGTATGGGTGGTCCCTTAAACATGGGTCCCTTGAACATGGGACCTTTGTAAGGTGGCCCCTTAGACTGTACGCCTTTCATTGGTGGGCCCTTGAATGGTGGCATTATTTTCATTGGGTGTTGGTAAACTGGTGGACCCTCCATGCAGCCATAGCCAGAATACCCCGGACAGCAGCGCCATTCCAGCTCCGTCACAGTTTTATGTGCGACCTTGTAGATTGGTTTGTACATCAGTCGATACCTGGAAGGAAAAGACAAACCTATAGTTTGACTCGTTCATCTCCAGGTTTGTCTTTAAAGCTTCTATCAAAGTCTTTTTTTTTAAAACCATAACCCTTGCTTTGAGTTTCACTTACATTAGAGCTGGACATTTCTGACCCCAGGAACACTTGTTGTACTCTGCTTTGACATAAGGAGCTGCTCCATCCTGAACAGTGAAGGAAACAGTCTTTTCTGTGACGTAGGCACAGTGGTTTCTGTAAGACAGGGGACAGAAAGACAGGACAAAGTCAATGTGTATGTAATAGAAACCATGTGGTTCAAAAAGTTCAAAGACAATTTAGACACAAGTTAAAAAAAAACTTTATATATGAAAATTACAAATCAATTTCTCTATGTATTCTCCATCTATGGAATTGTTTCCGTTCCTTTTTTGTTAAATTCTGGAGGATGTCTTTGACACCATCTAGGAACTGGAATAATTTTTCCTTTTGACTGTTCTTTCAGTTTTAGGAAAAAGACAAACAAAAGTTAACATTAAAGAACCTGTTCACGTTTCTTCATTTTAGGAGTAAAAAACTTGACAATTGCGAAAAGTATAATATTAAAACATTCTGAACATGTTATTGTTGACTAAAATCAGACAACTTGAAAAACTTTTTGACAATTTTAAAAACAGTAAATGACAGTGAACAAGTCAACCTACTTGTGTCTGCTGGTGGGTTTTCCCTGGGCGTACTGGTGGAACTGGAATGGTCTGTAGAACTTAGCTTCAACCAGTGCTAGAGTTCGCCCTAAAAATATATAAAAATAAATATATATAAATTGGAATACGTGGAAATACATTAAATACATTTCATGTCATTGTTTAATTTGAACGTACCTATGTTTTCAGCCTCAGGCTGTTCACTTCCAGAGGAAGGAGCAGGTGTTTCTTCTAGTAGTTGTTCCTCAGGTTGTTGACTTGGCTGAAGCTGGTGCTCGTGGTCCTCCTCTGTGTCATGTGGCTCCAGGTGCTCTGGCATTGGTTCCGGCTCTGACTCTGGTGAAAAAGACTCGAAGGAGTTCTCTGGGTAGGAGGTGGAGGAGCTGGGAGGCCCAAAGTGAGGCATTGGATTAGAGATGAAACCGCCCGGAGCCGGTCCTTGGGGTTGACCCCACGGGGTTCCTTTCATGGGAGTGTGTATGGGCGGTCCCTTAAACATGGGTCCCTTGAACATGGGACCTTTGTAAGGTGGCCCCTTAGACTGTACGCCTTTCATTGGTGGGCCCTTGAATGGTGGCATTATTTTCATTGGGTGTTGGTAAACTGGTGGACCCTCCATGCAGCCATAGCCAGAATACCCCGGACAGCAGCGCCATTCCAGCTCCGTCACAGTTTTATGTGCGACCTTGTAGATTGGTTTGTACATCAGTCGATACCTGGAAGGAAAAGACAAACCTATAGTTTGACTCTTTCATCTCCAGGTTTGTCTTTAAAGCTTCTATCAAAGTCTTTTTTTAAATTATTTAAACCATAACCCTTGCTTTGAGTTTCACTTACATTAGAGCTGGACATTTCTGACCCCAGGAACACTTGTTGTACTCTGCTTTGACATAAGGAGCTGCTCCATCCTGAACAGTGAAGGAAACAGTCTTTTCTGTGACGTAGGCACAGTGGTTTCTGTAAGACAGGGGACAGAAAGACAGGACAAAGTCAGTGTGTATGTAATAGAAACCACGTGGTTCAAAAAGTTCAAAGACAATTTAGACACAAGTTAAAAAAAAACTTTATATATGAAAATTACAAATCAATTTCTCTATGTATTCTCCATCTATGGAATTGTTTCTGTTCCTTTTTTGTTAAATTCTGGAGGATGTCTTTGACACCATCTAGGAACTGGAATAATTTTTCCTTTTGACTGTTCTTTCAGTTTTAGGAAAAAGACAAACAAAAGTTAACATTAAAGAACCTGTTCACGTTTCTTCATTTTAGGAGTAAAAAACTTGACAATTGCGAAAAGTATAATATTAAAACATTCTGAACATGTTATTGTTGACTAAAATCAGACAACTTGAAAAACTTTTTGACAATTTTAAAAACAGTAAATGACAGTGAACAAGTCAACCTACTTGTGTCTGCTGGTGGGTTTTCCCTGGGCGTACTGGTGGAACTGGAATGGTCTGTAGAACTTAGCTTCAACCAGTGACAGACACAGGCTCAGGCAGAACACTGGACTCCAGGCTGTGACTAAACGCATCTTTGATAATCCACGAACAAAATCAAAAGCCCTGAGAAAATATTTAAGAACTAAAGAGAAAAGTCAAATGTTAAATGTTAAAAAAAAATCCCCCCCAAAAAAAGACACCGATCTACGCCTTCGTCAGAGTGTCTCTCTGTGGACGTTGACCACGGCTGTAGTGGAGTCTGTCACACTGACACCAGACCACTGAGGATTTGTCCCGACTACAGACGTCACTAATAGGCTCCGACTGCCATCATCTGCATAACTCCTCCCACTTGACCTCCTCTAACTAACACCAGGTCGAGATGAGAGCCGAGAGCCTTCGCTTTCATGACGAATAGTACTCACTTAAATTTAAAAAAAGAAATAATATGTTTTTTATGACACCACCAAACCAAAGACCAGAGCAGGAATTCCTAGTTTTCCCGTGTAGACTGACATCATGGAAAACCACAAAGGAAATAGTGCAGCACCTTCAGTGTGCACAAAACCAGGTCTTGTTCTAAAGCGGTTGGGGGGGGTGTCCACAATTTTTTTTTGTCTTGGGAGGTGCATTTCAAATGACCAGAGTTAAGTGATCTACTTACATTGTAGACATTGTATATTTACTCATATAAACTGAATATTATTAAAATGATCATACATGTAGTTCCTCTGGGAATCGAACCCCGGAGTCTTTGCTCTTGAGGCAGGTGTGCTAACCACTACAATATGGAGTAATATATAATTATATGTTGGAGTGCTTTGATTAAATCACTGTAGTTGTATGGTACGATACTGTCTGACTCAATACTTTAGTCCAAGTAATTAGAATCTTAAAATAGAATTACATCTATAATTTTAATTATTATTTTCTTTAAAACGTAACTTCTCTAGATTTACCAGAACTCCCTTTGAGATCTACTAGATCTAGATCCCAGATCATCTACTTATTGGGCGCCCAAAGTCAGTTAAAGGAACTCTTGGAGAAGTTATATTTATAAATATATGATGCTGACAGCAGATATATTTCAGTTTTTTTGTGCTCATACACGGGTGTTGACTGTCTGCCTCGGCCTGAAGGTGGGTTTCCCTCCACATCTTGGTCTGTTTTACTTCACACGTGGACATTATCCCGGTCTAAACCTTGACCTAACAGCAAACCTCCAAAAGCAGCAACAATTAAAAACAAATACGCTGTGTCGGAGGCTGTGACGGTACACACCCAGGCTCCTGCGGGGCTACACCCACGGACCTACACATTCAGTCACAACACCAGTCTTTGTGCAGCTACATTTTCCACCTAGAGGTCAGATGGACGGAGACAAACACACGTTAGCTCTACTGTATATATTTGTCCTCGTTCATCTATACCTTTCACAGTCCACCAAAGAAAAGTTGCATTTTGGTGACACTGAAAATGTTTTTTTTTTCATATATTAGGAATACAGACAACGGCACCAGTTTGTGATTTTCTGTCTGTTTTAAATAGTCAGAGGCAAATAAGAATTTCACAATTTTGAAAAAAAAAAAACAAAGTTGGTTTTTGAAACTCTCAAGACAGTAGGTGTTGCACTGACGCTAATGGAAAAACAAACATTTTCCTTTTCAGTCCAACACTTGTTTTTACTTGTCAGGATTAATTGTGTGATAGTTTAATTTTCTGGGATTGGGGATTAGTTTTACTAATGGATTAAGTGTTTACTGTAAACTGACCAAGATGTGAGTTATGTTTGTGTGAATGGTTTGTTTGTTTCTCTATATCTCGTATGTGCTCAAACTCAAGGCCTGCGGTCCCAATGTGATCCGTCAAGTCATTTGGTGTGGCCTTATTATTAAGTCTGTGCTGCTCCGTCAAGTCATTTGGTGTGTCCTTATTATTAAGTCTGTGCTGCCTCAGAGCAGATATTGACCATAAGTTACAACTACAACAGTGCGTGTCATGATGATGACAGATCTATGAGCAGCAATTTTAACAGAAAAGTGTTATTATTATTAGTTTATTTTCTTGTTGTTTTTTATGGTAATTATTATTTCACAAAATATTACTTTACCATTTTGGGTTGTAAGTACACGAGCGGCTACTCGTCCCACCGTAGTTACTGCGTCCACCTGAACATCAGCACAAAGTGTAATCGATTGATAAAGAACAGCGACGGATCGTCCAGTATTTGTACTTGAAGTATTTGTACTTCTCAGGAAACACACTCAGGCTTTTATAGCCTGAGCAGAAACACTGTGGCCACTGTAGAAAACTTTGATTGACTCCTTCTAGAAACAGGCCTCATTTTCTGCATCCTGTTTGTACCAGGTTCCACCTTTTTTTTTTTTTAACCCGGTAACACCCCGTTCAGCGTGTGTGTGTGTGTGTGTGTGTGTGTGTGTGTATATGCTGCTGTTCTCTGCCCTCATGATTTGTATACAGCCTCTCATTGTGTCGCTTGAAACATGTTGCACAGAATCCAGACTCAGACTTTCTGCTGCTGTGGAACAAGTGCAGCTTTATTCTAGCTCCCCACCCAGAGTTCTCCTTCAATGGTGGCTCACACACACACACACACACACGCAGCTGGTGTAGCTTCCACTCACCTGCGAGTCACAACGCTTACGTCAGACTGAAGTTTTTTGGGGGGTTGGGGGTGGCTTCTCATCAGGGCTAAATAATGACCAGGGTGTGAGGCTGAGATTTCCCTGAATGCTCATTAAGAAGTGAACACAGAAGCCTGTGCAGGTCTGTCGGTCTGTACAGGTCTGTCTGTGCGGGTCTGTCGGTCTGTGCAGATCTGTCTGTCTGTACAGGTCTGTCTGTCTGTACAGGTCTGTGCAGGTCTGTCGGTCTGTAAAGGTCTGTCTGTCTGTACAGGTCTGTCTGTCTGTACAGGTCTGTCTGTCTGTACAGGTCTGTCGGTCTGTGCAGCATCTGGCCAGACACGTTTGTGTTTACCAATTGTTGTTTACCCAGTTTCCTGCCTGTTTGGCTTTAACACCAGCTCTTCAAATTCTGCGGCTCTGTGCCAACATCCTGGTGTGTCCTGAGCCGCAGCCTGACCGGAATCGGTGTCTTTGTGGTGTCATAATTATAGTATATGTATATGTATATGTACATATATGTATATGTTGGCAAAGGATAAGAGGGAGAAATCCAGCTTGATTCACAGGGAAGAAATAATCTAGTGTAGTGACTATCAACTGGTGGCCTGCGGGCCAAACCTGGCCCACCACAACATAACATTGCGGCCCTCGACTGGATTCCAAACTTTTGAGGATCAAAGGGAAAGTATTGAGTGGTACCCACTATTAAAGCGACTAAAAAAAAATTATAACAACTGAGATGTAAATAACTAGAGGTGTGTACTGTCAAGAATGTGTCGATACGATACTACGGGGCACCGATACGATATATATTGTGGTTTTATTTCACCAGTGTAGCTGTAGTCCAAGTGTGATCCTAGTCTCAGACTCTGTTCCATCTGAACATCAGTTACTGACACTGGAACAGAGGGATCTACATTTGGAATCACTAGAGAAGAAAGAAAATAAAAATAAAAAATAAAATAAATATTTGACTGTTAATTGTTAATAAAATATGCCAATATCGTATTGTGAAAGGAATTTTTTTGCAATATTTCAGTTTATCTGTTACTATTCTATTACTTTAAAAAAGTATTTTTTTATTTTTGTACTCTAATGCAGCTAATCACATATGGACGTACCATCAGTGTCATATTCATGTTATGTTTCGACGTGCCTTTAGGAAAAACAGAGTCTGTCAACTGGAACTCTCTAACTGGAGTGTTTGTTTCCGGGGCTCCTGGATTTTGGGCTTCAACAAACAAAGACCCCTCACTTTTACAGAGCTGCTTGTATCCTGTGCCGTGTTCTCTCACTGTGTACTTAGCTGAACACTGCGTCTGGAGCGGCTGCAGATTTCTTCTTCTTCTTTCAGTTTGTGATTTTTCTGTAATAATTTACACACATATATTCTCTGTTCTTCTCTGACGAGATCATTTCAATATAATGTTGACTATGTCAGTGTTTTTTTTGAGCATGTGGCCCTCAGCCCGCAATTTGAATGAGCATTCCTTATACATTTCTCTTTTTTTTTCCCCTGTGGCAGAAGTTTATCTGGAAGCTGGTTTTAGTTTTGTTTTCATATGGAAAACTCTAAGATCCATTGAGGTAAATGTCGTTTTTAAATTTGGACATTTTACCAAAAGACTGGCTTCACTTGATTTGGTTCATTTGAATCAAAATGTCTCAAAATCTGACTGGAGATATTTTTAAGTGAAGCTTTCCTTGTCAATCATCCTCCTCATCCTCCTCGTCCTCGTCCTCATCCTCATTATTTCAGAGTAGTCATTTAAAAGTGAAGCTTTCCTTGTCAATCATCCTCCTCGTCCTCGTCCTCATTATTTCAGAGTAGTCATTTAATGGGATAAACGTTTGACTGGACAAACACTCTCTGGTGGCCACATGCTGCGGCACACTTCAAATGTTAGCCAAAAGTTGAGTGTGTTTACAGTTGACCCAGTGAGTACACATCTGCAGACCGCCTAGTGTACACACACGTGCACGCACACACACCCAGACACACTTACTAATTAGCAATTAGTGTGCATGTGCCACTGTGCACACAGCCTGTTGGCCATTCTGGCTGCTGTTTTTTTTTTGTTTTTATCCTCTTTTCATTTTTCTTTTATTTTGTTAACATTTGTTTTCCCACAGTCAAATGAAAAAAAAAAATTTTAGGTCAAAGGTCAGGCCTGGCCTTGACTACAGTCTAGTTTGGAGTTTGCGTTAGTTAAAAGAATGTCAACACAAAACAAAATTAACATTACAAAATGTAAAACTACAAGATTCAAAACTGTGTTTGTTATATCTGTAGTGTGAAATCATTCATTTTATTTTCTGTTAAATCTTACTATTTATTTCCTTTTCTGGAAAAGTTAGTAGACTTTTATACAGTAAAGAAATGGCTGCAATTTAACACAGTGACCTCTAGTGGGCCTAGGAAGAAAAGTAACAGTATCTTCAGTTGTTTACAGTTGTTTCTTTAGGATTGGGGGGTACTCGTACTGTATGAATGATGGTCACAGGATTCAACAAATACACCCTTTAATTTACATACCTACTGCACAGTATCTCAGTGGAATAAATCACACTCTCTTTAAATTATTGGAGAGGATGTGATCACAAGGAAAAACGATGGGAGTAAATATGAAAATACATTTGGAAAATTAAATGTCATTGATAACAAGCAGCCAAGAGGACACAATATGCAAAATGGACTTTGTCAGGGTCGCTCTCTCTCTGTAATTATCTCCAAACAGCGAGGATTATTAAAGTTTGTCTCCATTTTTAGCTGTTAGACTGTTTGTTGTTCTCTGTAGGAAGTGAAGGTTGAGTTCATAACTTTACATAAATAGAAATAACGCCACTAAAACCATGATACACTCAGTTACACACAACAAAGGGTCTTTTCATGGATACATGTCTATTTGCTGCCCTCTAGTGCTTCAGGTTGAAAATTGCACACTCGGCATTGATACTACAGTACTACTAATATTAATATTAAATAATAATGTTAGAGTCTCAGTCAGGGTTTCTGGTACTACTACTAATAATATTAATATTAAATGCTAATGTTAGAGTCTCAGTCAGGGTTTCTACATATGATGTTTTTATTTGTATTTTATTGATTTATATTTCTTCTGTTTTAAACAATTACCTGCCTCTGATAACAGAAGTTCAACATCATATTTTATTTTACAGTGCATTATTGATTAGCTATTATATATTGCATTCAACACAACCCTAATCAAATAATATCCAAGTTCAATTACTATTTTTTTAATTTTATTTCACGACCTCCTGCAGTACCTCCTCGGACGCCCTAGGGGTCGCGGACCTCATGATGAGGACCTTTTGCTCTTAGACCCCCCTTTTATTTTATTAAATATCGATAGAGTGTCATCAGGGTCAGGTGGGTGCAGGAACAGTGCTCCCTACTGTCCGTCCCGGGGTCCTGCAGCTCCTGTGGACAAATCCCATTCACACACACAGAGAGAGGGGTCGGTCACAGAGAGGGCCCGCGGCCGCACAGAGCTCCCTTTCTTTAGGAGCAGCCATGGAGGGGTGTCCTTCTGTTGGACGGTGCAGTGATGAGAAGCCTTTTCATCCTCCTGTTTTTCACTCTCCACTACTGGCTGCGTTAATTACAGGCCCCGGGCTGCACTCTGAGTTCCCTGAGCTCATGCAGACTCTTGAGAAAAAGCCGCGTCGCTCATTCTCACGAAACGGATTTAAACACACACTCACATACACACACGTGCACGCGTGCGCGCGCTCGCTTGCTCGCAGAATTATATGCAACACGCACAGCCGTGTCGGAGTGAGCAGTGAGCCGGTCAGCTGACTGTTTGACTGGAACCACTTCGCTCCACGGACGCGGACTGACACAAGCTGGGTTTAAAGGCATTTCCTCCGTGGCAGCAGCAGCAGCAGCGGCGGGGGGTTGGAGCGCGATTCCTCTGCCGTCAGTGCTGTCTGGAAGTTTAAGGGAAAAAGAAAAAGAAAAAGGGGAGACGGAGAGGAGAGCAGTTGGTGGAGGGGGGAGACGGAGGGGAGAGGAGGGGAGAAAAGAGCCCAGCGACGACCGCAGCTCCCGCTGACGATGCCAGGCTCGGAGTAGATAGACTACGAGGGCACGATGGCAGTGGACGGTACGAAGTTTCACGATGTTAACAATTGTTTTTTTATCACTGCGATTATTTCATCGATTCGATTCGGTATGTTTGTTGTCCTGTTGTGACCGGTGGAACTTAAATTCAACCAGGAAATTATTGAACATTTCTAGAGACGCAGGTTCCTTAATTGTCTGTCACTGTCTTTCTGTATCAATATATTATATTATATTATGTTTTAAAGACGTGTCTGTGCGTCCGTTTGCAGTGGACGCTCGACGTTCCAACGCTCTCCTCTCTAGATCAGCTTCCTTCTACTCTTTCATTCAATAGAAACTTAAACTTTTTTTAAAAAAACAGAATGACTTCGTTGGTCAAAGTCAACAGCCGTGAAGCCAGTTTTTCAGGTTTTTATTTCCTAGTTGCACTGCAGTCTTTACAGACCAGTCGAACAAATAATTTTAAACGACGCTAACTGCTGTAACACGTCCAGCCATGTTGGCGTTCCCCACGCCGTACGTTGATGTGTGGTCTATATAAATGCTGACCACATGAAGGTTTCGAGGACGGAGGTTTGTTAGTGGACACTGTCCTGGTGCTGAAATGGACAGCTCACGGTCAGTTATCTGAGCAGAGTCAGTTCTCTGTTGAAGGGAAATACAGTCAGATGTTTTAGGACAGTGGTTTAATATTTGTTGATATATGTGTGTGTATGTTGTTGTTTGTATATATTATTATATAGAGTGCTATGTATATTTCAAATAGTCAATTTTGGGATATTTCACAAGTATAAAGCCATTAGTTTTATATTTATTTTTTTATTTTCTTGATTTCTTGATGAATGTTTTGGATGAAAACAACAATCAGAACATTGTGCTGCTATTTTTTATTTTTATTTTTTTTACTTTTTAAAATGATCTCGTTTCTTCCTCGGTCCTTTAAACATTCCCAAGAATCCCAGTTCTGGAAGAACTCATTTATATATTTATATTTTGTGAGCAGCGTTTTCTTTAAGGTTACATCAGTCTCCAAATGCTGGTGTAATATCTACGACCTAAGATCATTTTAAATTTGTCTTAATTGACCACATGCTCCCCTCCCAGTATGAGTCACTCTGCCCCATGTTGTCAGTAACAGACGTCAGTCCTGTTTGGTGGGGTCTCTTCAGCAGAAGTGGAGTTTCCTTGGTCTGAAACCTCACGGTCTATTCCTGTGCAGGAATCCAGTGATCGTTCCTCCTGACACTTTGATACCAGACGTACTGGTTTACTGAAGCATCTGAAGTATTTCCAGACTTTTGTGTTGTGTTGACAGCTGTGGTTGTTTTGTTCTGAACTCCTTGAAGCTGCAGATGTGAACTGTAGTTCTCACTCTTCCTTTTTTTGGGCATCAACATTTGTCTTCCTCTAAAACTGAAAATTTGAAAAGTCTGAATTTGAGTTTAAAAGTTTTCCGAGCGTCTGATTGTGGTTTTGTTAGAGCAGGAAGATCAGTGGTTTAAATCCCACCTCAGACGTATGGTCATATGTTTGGAATGTGTACTGAAGGTCGGTCTGTTTTTGGCTACTCCAGTCTCAATGTTGTCATATTTGTTTTGAAACAAAATGAGCTTCAGACAAATTCTGATGTTCTTTTAATTATAAAGAAATATTTAAAATCCCGTCACCAACTGACATGGTCTGTGAACCTCATCAACTGACATTGTTCTCTTCAATAACAGAATTTAAAAAAATAGAAATTCACATTTCTTTCCAGAAACACTGGACATCATCTGCTCTGAATAAAGGTCAAACTGGTTCTTCCCACGTTTCTGCTCTGATTAAAGGTCAAACTGGTTCTTCCCACGTTCTGTTCGAACACCTGAACGTCACTTAGGTCACGTAGGGACCTGACGTCTTGGTTTAATAGCGAGTTACAACCAGCGTTTTTAGGCACATACCGCCACCTGCTGTCATAGAGTGTGTAGTGTCATGTTGTGACCAGTGACTTTTTGCCTCCTCCTTACTTCACGATGCTTTTTTTATTTCAACCAATGCGAATTGACACACATTTGTATCGATTATTGATTGGCGATGCATCGGTACATCCCTAGAGGAAGACTAGGGACTGAACAGCCTCGGTCGCCGCCGGCAGACTCCAGTCTCCAGTGTTTACAGTAGCCTCTCAGAGTCGCACCTCAAAGAAAAAACAAAAATAGAATAAGCAGATTAATACATATTAATGTGATGCTGGTGATGGTTGCAGAGCCACGGTTGGTCTCGCTCTCTGTGGGATGTTTACGAGACGTCGTCGGAACAGAAAGTGACACGGAGACAGAAACTGAAAGACGCCCCTTTGATCCCCTCAAACTGCCACGCTCGTGACATTCTCTCTGGGTCTGTCCTCCTTTTGAGTTCTCCCGGCCTCTTTGAAATGGGCCGGAGAAAATACACAGCGACTTGTGCAGTGAACACACACACATACACACACACACAGATCTGCAAACATGGCTTCGGCACAGCGAGAAAGTCCTTCTGATCTGGCACATAAATCAGTAATGACCCATGGCCTTCAGCCAGAGTCTGTGCCAGTAACAGCATGTTTACCACGGTGGCACATTTCCTTTTAATCACTGAATATTGTGCAGCTACCTGCTGTCGAGTCGACTCGACTCTGCCTGTAGGCGGCAGCGTCACGATGAGGAGTGGTGAATCTTCCTGCTCCAACATTCCTCACCTGGCAAACTCTGCCACTGCGGGTCTGGGAATTTCCCCACAGCTGGTCCAGACTGAAGTCATGGTAAATGTTACGTCGCGCTGAGTGTGTTTCTCCAGGGTAGACGGAGGCAGCAGCTGTAATGACTCACTGAGATGATCCACGAGTGACAGATGTCAAGGTGTGTTTGGAGTTGTTTGTCAGGATGAGTGCGGATGAGGGTTTTGCAGATCAGGTTTCAGACTGTTTTCAGTAATGATGCTGCAGGTGTGGTCCTCTAAAAAAAAAAAAATCGGTTCCAGATTGTCCAGCAGAGTGGTAGTAAAGCTACTTTTTTCATGGAAAATAATTTCCCACGTGGCTTTTCACACAGAGCAGATTCTGTCCCTGGGAGAGAAATCTTTTCCTTCCTGAGATTTCTGCAATTTTTTTCGTTGAATTACATCACTGTTTTTGCAGACCGAGGGCAGAGGATATTTCATAATCCCAAGGACAACTAAGAAAAAAGTGTTCTGTGCATTTGAGCTTCAAAGAAACATTTTTAATGAATTGAATTTTTTTTTCTCTTATCCTTTCAGCTGCATCAAGTTTCAGTTTCTGCAGACCAGCCGTGGAGTACAGGGTTTTGTCGGAGGACTTTAAACACCAGTTGAGTCATCGGACCGGTGGGAACCTCACCTGGCACGACGGGCGAGGACACAGAACAACAGGAGGCAGGACGGTGAAGCTGCTGCAGCAGCCGGGCACGCAGGCCGCACAGGTAGATACCTGGGACCTACACTTACATGATATACTGCATCCATCCATCCATCATCCATCATCCATCCATCCATCTATCTATCTATCTATCTATCTATCTATCTATCTATCTATCTATCTATCTATCTATCTATCTATC